TATTCACTTATTTGTACAAGATATGGCCATATTGTATGGTTGTGAAGGTCCTTTAAACGGAAGGTTAAGCACTTTTTTCTCACTACCAGATGATTCGAAAGATTTTAATTAGAAACGCGTTAAGACTGTGTGAACATGGATATTTGGGATAGAATGAAAAAAAATTTGTTTTAACTACAACTCTAATTGATGTCAATCCATCGGTTTAAGTAAACAATTCCTTGTTCATAGTTGTCCAATTCTTCAAATATCATGTCAAATCTCGTACTGCCAACAAACTGTCATGATTACATAAAAATAGCGTATTTGAATTAAAGTGGTATTTCAGCTGTTAAGATTTGCCAAGAATTGGCTAATGCTGCATATAAAATTAACTTATTTGGCGCTATTCCACATTCCATGCCATTTATAGGCGGAATCTATTGAAAGCCGTTCTTTTCTATTGGGAGAATTGGTATGAATTTGATTTGTTAAAGTCAATTGAGGAAAAGGGTGCTAGCTGATTGTTCGTAAGGTTTGATATTGTCATTTAACTGATGCGCTTTTTGAATCTGTACGCTGAATAAATGAATTAAAGCCATTCTGACATGTGTCTTCCTTTTGGTCTTCTCATTCTCAAAAGTGACTCATTTATCAAATCCATGTTTTCTTAAATGCAGTTTGCTAATCGGATTCCCCTCGTAGCTTGTAGCTTATAGGCAAATAAAGGAAGAAATGTTGGCTTTTGAAAACTGCTTAAAATGATATTTATGAGAGACTTAAGTTACTGTTCGTAGATTTGAATACAATCTGAATACTAAATTAACATAAAGTTTCATATTTATTGATAATATTACCGAATTCCAATCTTCTTCAAATTTCTTTTACAATCGAATAGGCAAAACTCACTTCACAGTCTTGTGTGAGCTAAGTGGCTGATCTCTTAAGCTTAAGGGGTATTTTGGTCTAGAAAAAAATTTTCGAAAATTTTTTCATATATTTATAGTTTAACTATTTAAAAATATGTTTACGAGGCTATTTTCCAAATTTCAAATTAATTTCGGAGATATAAATATTTTGCTGAACAGGTATTCAAATTGGTTGGGCTGCAACCAATCGAACAAAAGATATAATGAGTTCCCCGACTACCTGAATCTATATTTCTTAGTAAGCCCTTTTGTTCCGTTATATTTATCTATCTATCTATATATATATATATATATATATATATATATTTCACGGCAACTGATTTACGGAACAGGAAAACACCAGTTTTATGAGTGCATCAGCAGCAAAATTGAGGAACTCAAATGATGAAGATGTTATAATAGATAATAATTACGGCTACTGTGTTTTGACGTTTTTCACGGTCTTTTCAGATATTTCTTTGTTTAGTTCGTGTACTACATACAACAACGAGATTATATTTTCAAGAATGGCTCTAAAAGGACACGGGTTCAGAATTGCATTACGATGCAGTCGCAATAGCCTACGCTACATTCCACCATGCCCATTCGTTGACAAATTCTTCGAAGTTTATCATTAGAAGAGTTATTTATTCGATGTTTGTTTTCAGAAACTCAAAATAATAATGAGTCTCTAAACTCGCTGATATGCAATTTCGCTCCAAAGCATATCCATTCCGGGTCTCAGATCATTATTATTATTTCAAATGACAGGCTTTGTGATATTTATCATTAGCCCTTAATCTTTGACTTCAGCTTCACCCCAAGGGTGGGGGTAAATTTACAGCAGTTGATCAATAACAGTTCATTAGCCGTCTTCTTGCTTCCCAGTATCTCTGGCTTTCCGTCGTTATCTTTAGAGCTGGACATCGAATCAGGTGGGTCTTCTCCATTTCCTCCTGTAGGTTACATAGAGGGCATGTGGTTTGAGTGTATACTCCCAATTTGTGAAGATATTTTGCCAAGCAATCGTGTCCGGTACGTAGTCTAAACTCAGCAACGGCTTCGATTCTAGGCCAGTCGAGAATGTCGGAGAGTGCCACTGTCCACTGCTACTCCTTTGTTCGAGCTTTAAGTTTGTTGCACCTTGAGTTCTTGAATTCTCTCCTAATTAAGGCCTTCATTGTGTGGAAAGACATCGACCGTTCCATGCATTGCAAAATCGTTGTCCCCTTCTTAGCAGGCGGTCCATGCATTGCAAAATCGGTATCCCTTCTTCAATGCCACAGTGACCAGGAATCCATTGTAGGACCAGTGTCTTTAATGCACTTACCAGGCGGTCCATGCATTGCAAAATCGGTGTCCCCTTCTTAGCAAGTGTGTCAGAAATCTCATTGCCTTTAATGCCATAGTGACCAGGAATCCATTATATCAATGTCTGATAATGGATTCATGGGTAGAGAGAGGCGCCTTTAATGCCACAGTGACCAGGAATCCATTGCAGGACCATTGTTTTGTTTTTCTCTCTCAGCAGCTCATAGAGTTTTCTACATTGCTTTAGCTCAGCTGTTTTGTGTGGCTCTCTGTTTCTAATTGCGTTTATTGCTGACTGTGATTCCGAAAGTATCACCGCTTTGGTGGATTTCGTATCCAGGCAACATAATCGGCATAGTGCTATCCCAATGGAATCTATTTCTCCTTCAATAGCGGATCTATTGTGTCCCGCAGCTGCGTAGAAAGAGAAGAGTTCAGAAAAGACACCTGCTCTAATGTTTGCTTGGTTTTCTATGTATGACCCATCAGTGAAGACTTGGAGCCATTGATCTGCAGAATAGTTGACATTGATTGTCGTGAAGACTTGGAGCTTTCCATGTATGACCCATCAGTGAAGACTTGGATCCATTGATCTGCAGAATAGTTCGTTTGTCTCAAGGGCCAGTGAGCGCATTTGCTCTGGAGGACCTCAGGGGCCAGTGAGCGCATTTGCTCTGGAGTGTCTGCCAATGAGTTCATGGGGAAAGAGAGGCCTTTTGGTTTGTCATCGATTTGCAATTCTTTCTTCAGTTCAATGACTTTCTGTGTTAGACCAGATTGCTTTTTCAGATGTCTTGGTCTATTCTCATAGGTGCTGAAGAATTTATCCATGGGAAATAAGTAAGCACTTGATGCTCCTGACTGTCTGAAGTAATTCGGCTAAGTCATTGATGAGGACACTGAAAGGAGTACATCTTGTGACGACTCCTTTTTGAAGGCCTGGTTGTAATTGATTGGATTTTGATAGAGCATAGCTGACCTTACATGATCTTTGTCCAATGAATTCTTTTCTCTAGTTTAGCACGTTAAGCTTAACACCAATCTTTGCCAATTTTTGAATTAGCTTCTCTTTCCATACTAAGTCATATGCTGATTTGAAATCGACGAATACAGTCGTAAGAGTATTTCTTGCATTGTTCTTTGTTGTCTAAAACCTGCTTGTTCTTTCCTAAGAATATTGTTGGTCTCAAGGAACCAGGTCAGCCTCCTGTTAAATATTCTTTTCATAAGTTTAGCATTCAATTGGAAACAATCTTCATGAAAATAATTTTTACTCAATGTATGCTAATGAATGAGTCGTTATCTGGGTGAATTTCACGTTTAGTCTCTGTCTTTTGATGCCAATATTGACCACACATTATGAATCAAGTGGAATTGCAATGAGATGATTCTCTGCATTGCTATGGCAGGGGGCGTAGTTATTCATGAATTGGGTTATAAATGGAGGCATTACACAAATTATTCACAGATTGACCATTTGATAGGAAATAAGAAGAATTATTCCCATTACTTCTACTTCAATTAGTTAAAAACAGGGCAAAAAAGACAGAGAAAATATTGTTCAAGTAAATCCTTTCATTTTTTTGCTGACTTCAAGAAACAGAAATGAAAGGGAGTTAAAATTCAGTCAAAAAATTGAATTTTTAGATAAGGGAATGTGGTTGAGAGGTGCTTTGCATTCAATTTATTATTAATTCAATAAATTTTTACGATTAAATTGTTCCAGAAATTGAATATCCGTAAACCTTTGCTTAAATGGCATTATCATTAAGTTAATCTTCTGATTTAATGTTATCGGATGACTGACAGATCTGCTGTTAGCAAAATGACGAATATTAGAAAATTATTAATGCAAAACACAAAGTCGTTCACCTTCCGAATTTTTATCTTGTTTATGCTAATTATCAGGGAAACTTTGGCTGTAGCTAAATTTATTTTAAGGTCAGTCAGAAATAATCTACGCGATTTTTACAAAGTACTTATCGTGTTTGGAAACTTTCAAAAAATTCGAAAAATCAAAAGCAATTTAACAAATTATCCCAAATCCTTCTGAGCTCGGGAAACTGCCCCAGGCAATCTGGAGTGCTGAAGATACCATCGGAAAGCATATTTGGCATTATCAGAACCATCTACACCTATGACATTTTTGCGGCCTCATATTCCTGGAATTCTGATTAATTGCTTTTGTACTCCTTTGATCATTGTAGAATGAGTGTTTATGCAAGTAAGTACAATTGTTAGGTTGCAACGACCAACCCGTACCCCACCGCTCGACTTTCTGTTACTTTCATGCTCCTTCCCCCTATGAAGAATGAAGGCAGCTAAAGGGCTAATGATAACTATCAAAACGCCTTCAATTTGCAATAAGTATTTCTTGTAACTGAGGGTATTATTTATGCAAACGAATACTAGTGGTCATCCGTGTGTAGGCTTAGTAATAGTGAATATTTAGCTTAATTTCGTTAACAAAATTTCACAAAAAAACTTTTCAAAAAGTTCACAAAAATATGTGCCTAAACTATCATTTTTTGAAACAACTTATTTCTATAAAGGAAAATTGAATATATTTAAAAGATAGAATTTTGATGTTTACCCTCCTTATAATTTTGAGTGCTTTGTAACTCAATTTTTACAGGATTTTTGACAGTATTAAATAGTTAAAAAATTAAAGGCAATTACTTACAATGCCCAAAATTCTTCTTAAATTAATACATTGAGTTGGCATTATTTTGGGATAAATGAAAACCAATTTAGTAAAGTGCACTTATGTACTTGAAATGATATCGAATACTATGTGTAAAAAATGGAAAAGCTGAATTAAAGAATTGAATATGAGTTTGATTTTAAAATGAGTATGAAGCATGGGAAAGAGGGAGAAACATCACAAGAGATTTGGGGTTTTAGTTGGGGTTGCTGTTGTTAGGTACCACAGTAACGGGTACAACGCCCTGATGGATGACAAAATCACTCACACTGCCAAGAAGAGCACGCGAAACTGTCCCAAGGCCACGAGTTCCCATGATAATTAAATTCGCATTCATTTCCTGAGCTGTTCGAATGATACCTTCGCCTATCTTTTTGGTGGGTTTACTAAGGAAAGCACAATTCAAGGCCGCTGCATGTCCTTTTGCAATGTAGTCCTCCTCAAGTTGTCGCACTTTATCCAATTTTTCGCGAAGTTTCTTATTAAATTCCTCTACAGGCACTGATCCGAGACTGTTTAAACTGAAAGCCGTTAATAAAGGGGCTTCAAAAAAGTGCAAAAATGTCACTCCATCATCAGGCATTCTGCAGTACTGAAGATACCATCGAAAAGCATATTTTGCATTAGCAGAACCATCTACAGCTATGATAATTCTGCGACCCCCTTTTTCTGGAATGCCGGAAAATCGCTTTTGCATTGCGTCGGTCATTGTGGAATAAGTGTTCTTACAAGTAATTGAAATTGTAAGGTAACATCGACAAATGACAAGGTTGCTGTTCTTTCGACCGTCCAATCCAAAACCTCAATGCCTTTACGCAAAACTTGTTAACCTTTAATTGATTAATTTACGCAAATCTTTACTGAGCAATTGGATTTTATTCAATCTGGCAATATAATCTTCTTTTGAGTATGCTTCTAATTAAATATTCATAAAGGTTCTCATATATGCCCTCAATTTGAATTTTCAGAGATGAAAATATTTGGTCATAATGGATGATTTTTGAATAAGTACAATAATTACCACTTATAGGTAGATAGAACATATTTCAAACAATCCTGAAGGTGACCACTATAAAACACAGCTTATGACTTACTTTAAAGCGATGCATTTTAAATTTGACTCTAATTTGAATGTTTGTGTTCTCTTTTCCTTTAGTCACTGGTATAAATGTGTGCCTATAATACGGACACGTTTTTATCCTTCAGAGTGTAGGATAGGAGAATTCTACAGCCAATGCTTCTCTCCAGCACTCGTCTCACCATAATATGTTCGTTTCTTGCAGATAAAATAGATTGTTGAAGGATGCAACGTGAATAATGCCTCTTGCGGATGTTTTAATTCGTTAGCAGATACATTCTGATTTCACAAAAATAGAACTTAAACAAGAACGAAAATTTGTTATCTCATTTAGGTTAACTGTTAACATTTAGCAATATGGCTGACATCAGCATCATAATGTATGAAATATATTGACAAAAGCTAAATTGTCACGTTTTTTAATTGGTTGAAGATCAAACAAAAAGAGTAATGGTAAAAGTTTCGAGACTGGTCTCTCTGATTTTGTTGAAAAGTTTTCGCATGATTTCCTTGGATTTGGCCCCATTCTAATTAGAAATTTCGGATGAATAGCTCCTCGCCAGCAGACCTTTGTACTTTATCTGTTTTATCGCAGAATTACGTTTTCAAGGTCTGAATGTTTCAGTAAGTAAATTATTTAATATTATTGTGTCTTCCTTATTTTCACCAAACTGCCCTACTTGTATCTTTATACCTCTTGAAGATTTTCGGAAAAAGAGCCTTTCTTTAACCCTTGTGGAAATAGAACCTAGCAAATTATTTAGCTATTTCAGAGTCAGTGGTAAGCATTTTGTTGTTTTAGCGTATCGGTTCTTTCTCTGTTATTTTGGAGGTTGCCCAGGAGTTTGAAAGTGCGTTGGCTATGATTTTGATAGTTGATATTTGAGATGAACTTGTCGAAGGAA